GGGGGGGGGGGATTAGATAGGGGAATTAGAATAGAGGAAAAGAATTTACATAAAAAATAAATAAAATAAAATTAAAAAAACTATTTTTTTAAGTTAAAGGAAAAATTTGCATCAGATAGGGCGGGACTAGCGTAGTCGTAGCACGGTACGAGCGCGGCCGCGCTAGTCTAGGCAGAACACTAGGCGATATGCGTGGCCACTAGCGTGGCCTATAGCGGTCGCGCTTGTAGCGCATTCACATGCACGTTCAGTAGCACGGTCGCGCTAGTATTGTGGAGCTGAGGCAGAACACTTGCCCATACACGCGGCCTGTAGCGCGGCCTGTAGTGCGGGTGCACTCCTGGGCTTTATTATTTTTCCTGTTTTCACCTATTCTTACCACTTTCAATGGCCTTATCACCTGCCCAAGGTCACCTGCATTGGTTAGTACTTCCCAAAACTCAAAATTAATAACTACTACTATCATTGGGTTGCCTCCCAACCAGTGCTTTAGTTAATATTGTGGCACGACGATTACAACACATCAATGGGTTGCCTCCTATGCAGTGCCTAATTTAACATCGTGGCATGACGCAGACAAACGCATTTAAGGCTCGTTCGACCTCTGAGGTTCCGTCAGGTGGATCTCTGGCACTTCCTTTGGTTCATTCATGCCTACATATAGCTTCAATCTCTGCCATTGACTCTAAACGTGTGAGAGTCTTTCTCTGAGGCAATCTCTACAGCTCCTGAAGGGAATATGTCACGCCCCGAACATGGGGGAGCGAGACCGACACCCAGTGCCTTACCTATCCTTGCGTACCAACTTGCAACTAAGGGACTCTAAACATATGATGTCATACTTTTGGCCATGGGCCACATTGCAAGAAGACAATGAATGCTGACTAAATATGAATATAAAGCTTTGCCAATAAGGCCGTCATATTTATTACAACTGACAAACCAACCAAATATACATACAAGGCCTTAAATCCCAACATACTGCACTAACTGACAAGATATGTCTACAAACCTCTACTAATGGATATACTGTGATAGGAATGGCTATCCGACCTACTCATGACATATATATGTATATATACAAGATATACATAAGGCTATAGACCCGGAAACTCCGAAAGGCATGGAGCTTACCGATCAAGCTGAGCTCGGGCAACACTTATTGAAGAGGCCTACTCGTCTGTCTGTCTAACCTACACGCATGAAATGCAGTGCCCCTAGAAAAGGGTCGTCAGTATGAAATAATGTACTGAGTATGTAAGGCAATATACTGAAAGCTGAAACTAAACTGATAATATAATAACTGCAAGTAGCTGGAAGTCAAAGATAATCTGAAGATATGCTTACCTGCTGATACTGACTCAATTCTCTCAATATAGTAAGTAAAATAGTTGTTCGGCCCTATAAGGCTCGGTATACATATATATCTGCTCTGCCATAGTAGGTCGCTCATAAGCGCTCGGCCATACTAGGCTCTGTATCTCGACCAACTGGGCTCACTCATAAGCGCTCGGCCATAGTAGGCTTGGTATATATATAACTGCTCTGCCGTAGTAGGCTCGCTCATAAGTGCTCGGCCATACTAGGCTCTATATCTCGACCAACTGGGCTCGCTCATACGCGCTCAGCCACAGTAGGCTCGGTATATAACTTACCATCTGATCAGAGGTTGCCCAATAGGGGCCTGCCCATCGATTATAGCTCAATGGTAATGAAAATACTTTTAATACTGTATATATATAACTTCTCTACTCTCTTGACTAGAAGAAGGAAATACTCAACTGAATATGAAATCCCGATAAGGAGAATATTATAACTTACAATACTAGAAAAATATATGTAATTTTCGAGACTAGCAAAATATACGTAAATTTCGGGATATGAATGTAATGACGATATCATGAGAAATGAAAGAAGAGCTTAGCCTTAACATACCCTAACCCCTTGAGCAATTGAGACATGAGCCGCATGAACTAGATGGCAGAAGTTAACAATACAACTCTGACATCCCCATCTTCCCAAACATGGTTGTACTCATGGAATCCTTGAGACTTGGCACCTAGAAATATAGAACAGTTTGTAGCTCCACATAGACAACGAACAGTTGCACCCACATTCCACTCAAAATTATAGTTATATGCCAACTCCGTTCCAACAGATATATCTTGCTTTGCAAATATTCCTACCCTTGTTTCCCTTAACACTGTCCATTTCCTTGTTTCACAATTTGGATGGCAAGAATGGTTTATGAATCTTGCAAAACTTCCCTTCCGGGTGGCATGAATGAAATAGTTAGCATTCAGAGAAATTATGTATGCATCCTTAAGCTTACGCAAACCAATTTGAAGAGTTCAAGAAAGAAGTCTTGCTAATCTCCAAACTACAGCACATGGGCCTCATTAGAATATCGGCCTATTGCGTTCATAGGAAAGCGAAGCTAGTAGTTTATGAGTACATGGCTAGTAGAAGCTCAGACACTTTGTTGTTTGGTAAGTTGGTTCCAACTATAGTTTGTGCAATGACATATTTCTTTATCAATATAATTTACTTTCTATCCTCCCTTTTTAATAGTTAAAGATCTTCAATTCTCTATTATCAATGTGTAAATTAGAAATGGTAGTGTAATCATATTGTCAGATCCAATTACTATTGAAAGTGGCGCCATTTTGATACCTTTCCAAGTATTTGTATGAGTCACTATGTTTGTTTAGTGAGCTGCCACGTTTTCCTTGTTGGGGGAGTTAAACTTTATCCAATAATCAATTAATTAATTAGGTAATATCCCGCTACTTGGTAATTAACCAATTATTCGCATAATTAAGAATTATCACAAATTACTTAAAGTATTACTCCCTTTTCACATACCTTATACACCTTACTAGCATGGTCATGTAGTACCTTGTATGACACTAGTCCATAAATATCGGGTATTTTTCCTCGGGCCGTATTTTACCCTAAAATGCCAAACTTGGACAAAAATTCATTTTCTTTGACTTGCTCCCCCTTTCACCTTCATGAATTTACTAATAACTTGTTTGAAATAGCATAATCCTTATAATATCCGAATAATCTTTTCCTTGGACTGATGTCAGTTACCTTAAGACAAATTCCACATACAATACTACATGGTGCAACATCATCGTAATGTAGTACTGCAGAATGTGACATCTCACTTCCGGCCTCTCATTAATTTATTTATGGCATATTTTGATGTACGAAAATATGGGGTGTAACATCATTCCCCCCTTTGAAACATTCGTCCTCGAATGTTGACTGATGCGCTCATCCTTCTCTCATTCCATAACTCTTTAGGATACTTTAGTAGTCCTCTTGCCATCTAGGCAAATATTCTGTGAATAAGTCCAAAGGTTAGGGCATTCCACCCTTTGGGCCTCTTCCCCACGCCATGACTTGTGATCGAATTCCTTCCAATCTCGTAACTGTTGCTACCTTCCATCATGCAACTTCAACAATACTGACCTTGTAAGTATGCTTATGCGACTCTCCTCTCCTTTTTTCCTCCAGTTTTTAGCCAATCCTGAAGTTCTTCGCTTGGTATTTTGTCGAACTTATGAATATTGCTCTATCTTATTTTATAGACCTGGTTATCCATTCGTATAACTTTACTGCATCTACATTGTTCATACTATACCATAACTCTGACCTCGACTTCTCGTTACTGAGGTCTACTACCAATTCCCAGGTTACTTTTATTGCTTATCCCATACGTATAAATCTATGTTCTCTAATGCTTCCACATTACTGTTCATCTTAAGAATGACAGCCTAATCTCCTCTCATACTTTATAACTTTTATCCATCCATTGTTGATTCACCTTAATTTTGATCCATAATCCACCCCTGATAACTTAACCTTTTATTTAATATTGCTGCTAGGATTCACCTTTTATCGGGGAACGTCTGAAATAATTAGATTGATCCACCTGGGGTGATACCCTGCTTTCATAACCTTACCTCACAACATCCCAATTTGATTCACCTTACGTGGGTGCTTTAATCCTGTCCAACTCATAAGATCCGTTTCTTTCCTTTGTTGAAACATTACTCAATCGAAGGCCCAAACATCATCGTTTATCTATCACAATTATACCCTCATTC